GTCACGTGAGTAATCCTAATGTTTTTTGTTTTTAAAACAACTTATCTTTTATATGTTTAAAAGATCGTGTAATCGTGATCGATTCGATGCAGCTTATAAATTTATGCAAGTAATCAGCAAATCAGTGATTGCCATTTTTTTATTTTATTTGTTACCTATTAAAGCTTATCATTGAGAATAGCGATGAGAATTTCTAATTATTAACAATTGTTAACAAATTGTTAACTATATAAATTTTTTAATTGTTTTAAATGATTTATATAATTAACAATTTATTAACAATTGTTAATAATTAGAAATTCCCATTGCTAGTTGAGAACCAAAGTTTGATTTTTATTTTATTGTTGAGTTATTAACACTATTAACTAATTTCTAGGTATGAAGGAAAGTAGTCGTCTTTTCTCAACTTTTCTCTCTTGTAAACATTTACAGGCTTTAATGTGGCTTAACCTGTCAAAATTGAATGATCTAAAAAAAAAATCGTCAAGAGAACGGACACGTGACAACACTACGAAAGAAAGCCCTTCACTAAATTCTTTATCTCCAAGAGATATATATGCCTTAGGTAAGGTGAGCCCCTGGCTTTTGTGAACCGTAATGGACCAGGCAAGATGAAGGGAAATCTGTGTACATGAACATGCATTACCTGTTTTACCCTCCCAGGTACGTTTAATCAGCGTAATTAGAACAACTTTTGTACCCTCTATACTGGTAATTGTAGGCCCTTGGTAACAATCGAAGGACACAAAAACCGCTATAGATAAGGAAGGGGGTCCATGATTTTTGAACAAAATATCTTGGACAGTTCCTAATGCTCTATTCACAAGTCCAGATTCTGTCCAAATGTTTGCTGTAAGCATGACGCATACTCCTCTTGCCAACAACAGCTGTGCTTCAAGACTGTGTACAGTGTCTGAGTCAGCTCTTTTAGCATCTCTATCACTGCTGTGTGTTGCAATAATTTTAGCAACTGGGACATTTAAAGCTCGAAGCTTATCAATATTTACGACATCTATATCAGACCATTTCGGCAGAATGTAAGTAGTTTCTGAAAACTGTTTACACTCTGCTTTTGATAACTTTTCTTCAAATCGTGTAGTAAGCAACTTCCAATTATCTATTGTAGATTCACCATCATGAAGTCGTAAAAGGATGTCTCTGAACCTTCTTTGTTCCTCTGAATTTCCAGATTGTCGCTAAACTATGTCAAGTTTGTATACCTCATTGAATTGTTTGTATGCTGCATGCCCGTTATTTAACAATAGATCTCTTCTTTTAACGCTAGTATACATTGGGAGATCAAGTACTGGTGAAAGTTGGCCAAAATTGCCAACCATAATAACAGACCTTCCACCGAAGAGTTCATTTCTGTGTTCTGGAAAAGCTTGGCATAAACGCATATCAACTAAAGCAAGTATGCGCCATCCTACTATCTATAATTATATAGATTACGCTTTCTAATCTCTTTTGTAGCTGTTTTAAGCGTTCCCCATTTATATCCAGGTTATCATTGCCATCATTTATTGCGATCGAAAAAACCAAATGGATCGTCATACCATTAATGTTGTATGCTGCAGCACCTGTCAGAGCAAGTACAAGTACTGGTGATCTAGATCCAATTCTTGTCATTTGATGAAGTGTGTATCGAATCACATTATCGAGGTATGATTTACCTGTTCCTGCTATTCCTAATATTATGATTTTTAGTGGTTTAACATAACAGCCTGTGAGCACATTACGATAATGTGATTCAATTCTTTTAAACACTTTCATTTGATTATTATTTAGGGTTTGAGGATTTATGGAACCTGTATTTATATGCGTATTCTCGTCTGTTTGATGATTTCCACTAGAAGCTTGACATATAAAAGTGTCGGCGTTTGCAAGGTCAGTATCAGAGTAGCATTGCCTAGCATCATCAACCCATCTATGAGTAAGATCCATATTACGAGTTCCTAGATCGCAAGAATCATTTATGACTGCATTTGGGCCCATTTCTGTCAATAACATCCAATCTAATCTTAATTCTTTCTGTTCATCATTATTAGGCTGTTCACTCTAATTATTATCATCATTGTCGTCGGTAGGCTCACCTTCATCTACATGGGGTCCAAGTAAGTCGATTGGGTCATTATTTATCTTTTCATAATAACAGTTATATAAAGTTGACCATTCAATGGTATCGTTGTTGATCAGTTGTTCAATATCTCTATGTGGAATATGTAGGATAACTTTTATATGGCAAAACTCCTCCCATTGAGGACCATTATGTAAGGGTGAAGGCCATGGAAAGATACGTACTATATTTTCATGCTTGCATTTATTCCAGTTATTCTGGGTAAATTTATGAGTTAAATTAAGCCGAAATAAAGAGAAAATTTCAAATTCTGTAGGATATTCCCAATATAATTTTAGAGGTGACTGGACCATGCGTCCTACATCTATGGTTGCGAAATTACTTTAATTCTACATAATTTTGGTAATTTTTACAGTAAGTTTTGGTAAATCAGTTTTCATGTAATTTGTAATTTATTATGATTTGTAGCGAAATTTCAGTGATTGAGGGGTTGCAATGTGAATCATATATTCAAATCAAATGATTCACTAATGCTGGATGAGCTTTTGTAAAGCCGGTACTTTATATATAGCATGATGAAATTATATAAAATTTGATTTACCGAAGCTTGCATAAAATTATATGTATTGTAAGTTTGTAATTTCATAACACAACCCCTACCTGTATAATCCACGCCATCGTACTCTTCATTCTCTCTACTAACAGTACCACGAATCCATCGTGGTACTTCTTTGTTAAGGTTCAAGAAGACAAATACCCGACTAGAACGGTATAGTAGAATACCTAGAAGAAGATGACAGGTTTTCTGAGCAGAGACATCATGTTCTGCAACACTATGTAATAGTAATTTTTAAATAGAAGAAAGTGATGGATTTTCCGGATTGCTTTTTTGAAGGATTTGGTTTAGTATTTCAAAAAAAGTTGCTGATTGCGGTTCTGCTTTGCTTGCATACTTTGAAATGTATTGTAAAGCGGCATGGGTGCTAAGAATTGGTTTGATGTCTACATTTGCTCTCCAGCCCTGTAGTTGAAGTTGATTGTGTGGATTGATTAATGGATCATTTCTTGCCATAATAACCTCTGGCCTACCATGTCCATCATCGCACAATATAGTATGATCAATAGTATCCTTAGAATACCCAAATCTACAGGACTGTTGTTCTAACCAATTAACGCGAAGGCAATATGAGGAACTACAGCGCGTGTGTCGTTGTAGCTTGTTAACCAATTCTATATAATCTTGAAGATCATCCTTTAGTTCTTCACTACCTTTTTGACATGGATGTCGTTCTGGAACTGGTACATTAAGTTCAGAATTAATTGTGGAAACTAAAGTATCAATATATTGTGCCACTTCATTCATCGCTTTTTCATCACCTTTCATCTGTGTCCAATTGATTGCAGGCACATTTCATCGTTTTCCAATTCCATGTACGTGAACACTACCACGGTGCTGCTATTCAAATCGATACCACCAATCTTCAAGATCCCATTGCCGCTTTAATACATCATTAAAAAAGGTCTCAAAGCACTTGCAGAAGAACCAGGCCGCAATATGTGGATTATCAATTATATTTTGCCGTCATGTAGATTCAGTTACTTGGGCAGAGTTTTCGCTAGATATAATAAGTTCATGGAGCTCTGGCCAATAAAAGTTGGCAGCACTAAACGTAAAGAACACGAGCCCCCTTGAACCTATTTGTTTAATTATATCTAATAATTCACGACGTCGTCCTATCAAAAATTGCCAGGATACACGCAAACCTTCACCATATCGCATAATGTGGTTAGCAACATATTTATCACCTTGAGCAATCATGTCTTGAATATCTTTAACTGTAAGTTGCTTATTACTAAATTTTTGCTTAACATACACTTTTTCCTCTTGTAGTGCCCGCCATCGCATTATAGAATTCAATGCAAAATATCTCCAATGCGTATGTCATGCAAATCTTTTATCTTTGTACTAAAGTAAATACTTGAAATATTTTGCTGGATTGATATCTCTAATGCGTTTCGACCGAAGATCGGACGATCCTGTCGGATAAAGAGTTGGGAAAGTACGTGCAATATAACTTGGTATTCTAAATTCGTTAATAGGTGTATTTTCTATATTTGGCTATGGTAAAGGATTGCTCTCACTTTGCATGCAGTTAAGAGTTTCTTTAATAGCAGTATCTTCTCTATAAACTGGTGGAAGAGACAGAACAAAGGTACGCGTAATTATATCATCCTCAACTTCTTCATTATCTGATTCTTCAGCTACTATTTCATTATTTGTGAGCTGATCATCAACGTAACCATTTGCAGGTAAGGACTGAAGAACGCCTTCATCAATTGTAATTTCATTATAATACCAATTATTTTCTCTTAACCACATTAATGCACAAGCAACCTTCTCATGACGGACTAGAAAATCCCTAAAGGATTTCTATCTTGCTGACTGGTGGCGTACAACTAACACATCCAATGATGAAGGACTTCGAGGAAGATGAGTAGTGAATTCATGTACATCTTGCGGAAAGTTTATTACATTTCCACGATACCCGTATTGCCCACCACGAAGTTTATAGACCGATATTACTGGGAAAACTTGCACAATTAACATTTCTTCTATCTCTGTAAGTCCTTGCAATTCTTTAGGTACTTCACCAGGGTTCATGTTATTTTCTTCAGAAAACTTTTTTGGTAAGGTCTTTTCACTGTAACAACGATGACACTCCCCCATAGCAAGAACTATTGATGGAAAGCTTTCATTATATATGGGCAAAGAGTATATTTGATCTTATCCATTTTAGTCTGAAATTTATATAGAAGAGCTCGATCGAGTTCACTAAGATCAGCGGCAGAAAGTAGTTCAACAGGTGTAGTTGTACTAATTTGTATCTCCTGAATATTGGCATGTTGCATTATTTCTTGCTCATCAACTCTCTTGTCTCATTTGTTCACTACTATTATTCATACTACCATTAACACCATTTACACTATCATTCACACTATCAATTACAATATTCGCACTATTCATACCATTATTCATATCATTCATATCATCATTCATATCATCATTTATATTATCGTTAACACCATCATTCGCATCATCATTTACTCCATTCACACTATCAATCATAACATTCACATTATTTACTCAATCATTCGCACCATTCATGCCATTATTCATATCATTCTCACCATCATTCTTACCACTTTCAGTTACTTGTTTTCGACGTTTTTGGTAACGATTGCGAATGCTTGTGAGATGCGTTGCTTGTTCCTCGGGCATTTCTACAGCTCTTTTTTTGCACTTTCTTTCGCGATCTCGAAGTCGTTGTACTTCGTGTTGCTCAGATGTTTCATTTTTCATTTTTTTATGTTTTCTTTGAGTGTTGCGGTAAACATTTTGGTTATCCATTGTTTACACAACTTTTATTGACATATCAGATAAGTGAAAAGTTTTTCAATTCTGAAACATATATGCGCCAGTTTGTATTATGTACTCTGATTTACTAATATTTACAATTATCCTATTCCAAAGTAATTCAGAAGCGTGGTTTTGTGCTGAAATGAAAAAACATGATTAGCAGATACTTTATGTTTTGAAGTAGCGCTTAACTATTTACTAATGATGCAGAAATTTATCAGAGTAGTGACTACTTACAGCATTACAGCTATGATGTAGAGGTCATACTACCCCGAGGTTATATTGCCGTGAGTGATGTAGTATGCCGTATAGCGTTACTACCCTAAAAAATTTCTTTGATCAATCAAATTTCAAGTAAACATGCGATTTACACAATTATGATCAATTTTCATATACTATCTAATCAAGTTGCTGAATATACATAATTAAATTCTCTTTTACCAATTTCTTTAACATTAGATCTGTATAAGTGCGAAATAATGCCCACCTGCGCTAATTAATTAACTTGCACATTATTTAGAATACACCTATATGTGTTATCCTGAAATAAGAGTTGAATTTCTAAATCCAATATAGTCAACCTTCCGTAACTGCATATTTTTGGGTAAAAGCACACTTATAGAATATTCTTTATGGAGCATAATCCACATATAGAGTGTTGACTAATATTATTTATTGCAATAATAAATTATGTGCCACATTAGGATGCGTGTTAGTTCAGGATGCTATGAGCGCTAATATCGAGAACATATGGGGGGCTGCCAGTAGAAACCAAGCAAATCGTTTTTAGTAAGTTTTTTTAAAATTTTAAATCAAAATATCTC